CCTCCAGAGCTCCCATTTTCTCCAGGGAAACTGATCCCAGGAGGCTGGAGGTCAGTTGTAATGCTGAGGTCTCCAGCCCCCGCCTGGAGGTTGGAAAATCTCAGCACCATTCAGACAGTGAAGGGAAAGTGATATTTTGAGCGGTTTAGTAGCAGGATTAAAAGAGGCATCGATAGAGGGGAACTGGAGAAAGAACACTCAAAAAGGTTTATAAGAAATGGCAAAAACCAGGGCTATTTTTGGGCAGGAACGCACAGGAACGGAGTTCCGGCTGGCTCCCAAGTTGGCCACGCCCAGCAGGAACTCATTAGCATAATAGGCCACACCCAACAGCAGAAACTCATTAGGATTGGCTACATTAGGGGTGTGTGGCCTAACATGCAAAGGAGTTCCTGCTACAAAAAAAGGCCCTGGGTTTTGACAACAAACAAGGTAAACAGAATAACAAGCAAAAGGTGGGTGTGGCTGGATGACCACACTTCTGGTGACATGTGGGTGCGGCCTAATGTGCTAATGAGCTGTGCTGTCAGGGGCGTGGCCTAATATGCTAATGAGTTTCTGCTGTTTTGTGGCCTATTATGCTAATGGGTTCCTGCTGGGCTTTTTCTACAAAAAGAGCCCTGGGCCAAAAACCAATTTATCTGCTGGAAATCAGGATAGAAGGTAACAAGAAGCTCGATGCCCATCTAACAGAGAGAATATCCTTGGCATTTATTTGTTTTAATAGCAAAACGATTCGTATCCAGTGTGTCTTTAGCATTCTGAAGGCTAGGAAGGGAGATGGAGATGAAAGATGGTCAAATCAGAGCCGAGTGCAAAAACAAGATCTGTCTTCATGACAGCAGGCAGGCCCAGTGGAAACATATCCTCTGTAAACACCTAAATAAAACACCCAGCGGACTGCCCTCCTAGACGGGGCTCTCTCGCTGTAGGCCTGCTTCAGTCATGGAGCATCCAAGCGCTGATGTTCCTTCAGGGTTTAGCTCCAGCTCAGTGCCACGGCTCACCAGCTCTGGCAGAAGTGTGTGCAGCAAATCAGGTTAGGGGTGGCAGGTCCAAATCCCCCACAGTCTAGTGGCTTAATTTGCAGATTATTCTTTGATGTTGTTAATGATGGTTTCACACACACACACACACACACACGGTGGATCCGGAAACAGGCTAATAGATAGGGTTGCCAGGTCTGGTTTGGAAAATACCTGGAGACTTTGGGGGTAGATCCAGGAGAGGGGGGGATTTGGGGAGGGGAGGGGCCTCAGCAGGGCTATTTTTGGGCAGGAACGCACAGGAACGGAGTTCCGGCTGGCTCCTGAGTTGGCCACGCCCAGCAGGAACTCATTAGCATAATAGGCCACACCCAACAGTAGAAACTCATTAGGATTGGCTACATTAGGGGGTGTGGCCTAACATGCAAAGGAGTTCCTGCTACAAAAAAAGGCCCTGGGTTTTGACAACAAACAAGGTAAACAGAATAAGAAGCAAAAGGTGGGTGTGGCTGGATGACCACACTTTTGGTAACATGGGGGTGCATCTAAATGGGCTAAAGAGCTGTGCTGTCAGGGGTGTGGCCTAATATGCTAATGGGTTTCTGCTGTTGGGTGGGGCCTATTATGCTAATGAGTTCCTGCTGGGCTTTTTCTACAAAAAGAGGCCTGGGCCTCAGCATGGTACAATGCCACAGAGTCCGGCCTTCAAAGCAACCATTTTCTCCAGGGGAGCTGATCTCTGTCAGCTGGAGATCAGTTGTAAAAGTGGGAGATCTCCAGGCCCGACCTGGAGGCTGGCAACCCTACTAATGGATCCGTCCAGCCCAGCACTGTCTGCCTGGACTGGTAGCTGCTTTTCAGTAGCCAATGCAGAGGATCTCCGTTCTGATTTTCCAGCTCTGCTACTGTGGATCTTTGTAGTGAAGGTGCCAAGAAATGAATTAAGCTGGGAGCCTGGGAATATATGAAAACACAGGCTGCCCTCCCTGACGTAGTTGCTGCAGGCACTGTCGTTAGAATGGTGAAGCTGCCATCAGATATTTTAACTGATCTATCTTAGATGAATTGTTTTTGTTTTATGAATTATTATTTATCGTTTCGCTATATGTCGTGAGCCACCCAGAGCCTGCTTGCAAGTTAGGGCGGAACACAAATTGAATAAAGCAAAGAAACAAGCAAACAAAAGTGTCCTTCGGCCTCTTTTACTCACACGTGAACACACACTCTCACACACAAACACACACACACACACGACACTGTCTGATACTGAATGGGTGAGAGCGGGTTAAACTGCTCTGGTTCTAACCGGATTATATTTGATCTGGATAATCACGATCACACTTACCTCCCTTATCCCGCCTCACAGCGCAGTCGCAGCGCTCCCCGTTGTCTACACTACTGACGCGCGGAAGCGTGTGTCGGGTTTTTTTATTTTTCCTCAGTTCGCGCATGCGCATAGGCGCCCCTCCATAGAGGGGGGGGGGTATAAATCCAATCTCCTCCTCCTCCTTCTTCCCAAGCAGATGCTCTAGCTCTGAGCCATGGCTCTTCCCAAAACAAAGGCTGTGGTCACACTGGCAGCTTGGCATGGCACGGAGGTGCCGCTCTTTGCACCGGGACAAGTAATAGTGGGAAGGGGTGATCAGACAGTACCTCTAGTGGCGGTCTACCTGCCTGTGTAATGGTTTCCACAGGATGTTGTCGAAGGCTTTCAAAATGTCGTCAAAGGCCCCAGAATCTTATCCCAAGACACTGAAAGGATGGACAACACATCCACTTACCATGTCAGATTACACAGGGAAGCCATTGAAATCCATAAACATAAACATTTCAACAGGAAAGAAGAGAGTTTAAAAATAAATAGGGCATGGTGTCCTGTCCTGAAAAACACAAAATGCTCTACATCTTACAATAGCACTACAGATAAGAATTTAAACAGCCAATCCATATGCAAAAGAACCTCCTCAGGAAAGCTCCTCTATTAGCATGTCACAGCCTGGGGAACTCCTACAAGATAATGACTCAGCCCTACCCCACCTTTCTGAGTAGATATAAATTACCTGCCTACCATTTTTCTTCTCACCTTGACACAGAGACCTGTAGTCTAATAAAGCATAACAATTCTCTGGAACGTGTGTGGAGATTTGCATGCTGTTGAACCTGACAGTACTCCATCTTTCTGTGTTATACCTCCGAGGATGCCAGTCACAGCTGCTGGCGAAACGTCAGGTCCTACAATGCCAAGACCACAGCCACACAGCCCGGAAAATCTACAACAACCAGTGGTTTCCACAGGTTTTGTTCACAGTCCCTCATTTACCTTGGACAGAATTTATTTTCTGGTATTTTCCCCTAATAAATCATGGTCCACCCCTCGGGGTATAAATAAATGAAATAATAAAAATAATAAAAGATTAAACACTCACTACATTGCAGCTTAAAGAGTACTAGCATACAAAACCTTTTGCTGCGATATAAAAGACTAGGAAAAAGGCCCATTGTGGAAATAAATACAACAGCCTCTAGAAAGAGTTTCTGGGCGGGTGCCCCGGCCTTGAACACTCAGTGTCAATTTGCTGTGGCGACCTCAGCAGTGTATAATGACACTGAGTCCACCATTTTCTCCAGAGGAACTGATCTCTGCTACCTAAAGAACAGTTGTAATTTTGAGTGATCTCCAGCCCTCACCTGGAGATTGGCAATGATGGTTCCCCAGAAGGGAATAGTTGGTTTGGAGGGTGGAGTCTATGGCTTTGTACCTGTCC